GGCCCTGCTGGGTTGCAGGAGCCGGAGGGGCTGTGGCCGCTGCTGTGGAAAGTGGCCTTTGTGTGATGCCTGCGTATACTGCTGCTCCCGTCTTTCTCGCGACGCATCAGGCACGGATTCTTTGCTGGTGATTTGAAAAGCTGTTCCCCACGTCACCCGCCGCCTGACAGAGGGGGTCCCTTTCTGGGCTGATGCTGGCTGACGTTCTCTTCTGCCTCCTCCCCTGCCAGTGCAGAGTGGCTGGATGCCTGTGGAGTAGTGACAGCCGGCTTTGCAGGAGGGCAGGGAAAGTGGTGGAGGGGGAAAGTGGGGTGTAATTGAGGCAGTGGGTGTTGGGGGGGGCAGAAATCCCACATTTCTGAGCATGGATCTTCGTTGCCCAGGCTCATCCTGGCAAAGCTTTGGGGAGCCAGGCCTGGGGGTTGGGATGCGCAGATTGTTTTAAAACCGTAGGCCTGGCCCTTTAAATTTCCTCTTGCCCTAGTCTGGTCTTTTCCAAGGGCAGCTCAGCCAGCTGCTCTGCAGGGTGGATTCTCCAGGATGGCTCTTAAAGGGCCAGGACTGTACCCCAGTGAGTGGCTGAACCCCCAGATTAAAATGCCTTGAGCGATCCTTCGGGCGGCTCTGACGGGTGTGGTGTGGCCGCCCACCCCTCATCTGCCTTCCCTCAGGAGTGCCCTGTTGCTGCACAACCGGGATCAGCAGCGAACCGCAGGGGGGCACTCCGTGATCCCGAATGCCTACGCTGAGAGAGATGGGTGGGTGTGGGGGGAACACACAGGCCTGAGGCTGGAAATCAGGTGCTGGAGCAAGTCACTCCCATGCCCTGCTTTGGAGGCTCCTGTTGTGAAGTGAGAGTGATTATTTGCCTCCTCTCAGAGGGGGTGTGCGGCTGCAGGTTTGCAGGAGGCTGCTGGAGAGCTGGGTGCAATACAGCTGCCCATGGCCCCACCCAGGTGCCATGCACGAACGTGGCACCCCCTGCAGCGTTCGTGACTCTGTGGCGCTGGCGCGGCACATCAGTGCGGTTTCAGGCCAAGTCGGGAGACGTAGGTTCTGTTCCCCAGCTCTGCCATTTATCGATAGAGCGACGTGTGTTTAGGGAACTTGTCCGTGCCTCAGTTTCCCCCATCTTAACAATAGGGCTGGTGATGCTACTCCACCTTTGTCAAGCGCTTTGAGGTGTGCAGAGAGGGAGGAGACGGGCTTTCGAGGAGCATTGCTGCCTTGTTTCCCTTGGTTAAACCCTCTGTTGACGTCCGTGTCGGTGCAACCCAATTGCTTCCCTGGATCGCACTGAAAATTGATACAGACACTGGTGGTGCCAGATGCCTGCCCTGTAGAAGGCTGTTCAGTGCAGAGTGACATAGGTCCCACTGGAACCACCCTCGCTTCCCAGCAGCTTCCTCAGAGGAGTCAAATTGTGCTCAGGCCACCTCCACTGAGTCCCCTTCTCGGCCCTCGACAGGCGTCCCTCTGTCAGGGGTGAGGCGTGTTGGCAGGGGAGCCGGGAGGGGGGTGCTGCCTGGTTCCGGTGCTGGTTAGTTACAGCACTTGGGTGTCTGGGGTTGCCACGCTGGCATCGTTCATGAGCTGAGAAGTCTCATGCACGGTATAAAAAGCCACAAAGTCCTTGTGCTTGGCTACCTGAGGAAACTGTGCCGGTGTAATTACATTGATACCGTTGCTTTGGGTTTGCACCCGAGCCCGCAACATGAGTGCCTGCCGCATCTTTGCTCTGTGCTAATGGGCACACGCTAGAGACTGGACGCTGGCGTAGTGAACCCCACTTGCACGTTTCCCTCCTCTAGACAAGCCGCTGCATCTTCCAGCCCTTTCCTGATCCCTCCCAGAGAAATCTCTGCCCAGAGCTCCCCTCTTCTGCATTCTCATCCATTTGCCACTCTTCTTTTATTCCCAGGGCTGCCCCCATCGAGCATGGTCTCTCACGTCTCCCCAGCTCCTCTCCAAATTCCTCCCATCCCCCCACCGCCCCGAATCGCGATCGGACATGTGCACCGTCAGTGGTTTTCCAGGCAACCGATAGCGATATCGCAAGGAGTAACTAGCCGGCCAATGGGAAGCCAGGAGCTGGTGAACTCTGTGGAAACAAAGAGCTTGTTGTCATGCAAATGCTTGGCGGTGCTAACGGGGTTTTTTGAGTAGGCTGCTGGGATGAGAAATGCAGTCTGGGGAGTGACTCCAAACAAGCTCCTGGGAGCTGTCCGCCTTTGAGAGCCAAATTCAGTTTATCCACCAAATAGCGATAGGTCGTCGTCCTCTCCGGCGAGGCTGCCCTGGGACTGTCCTGCCCTAGAGCTTTTGTCAGGGCTGTTCCCCTCTCTGGCACTCCGTGACGGCCTGCAAGAGAACTTCAAAACCTCACCTCCAGGCACAGGTGACAAAAACTTCCCCCCAGAATTATAAGACAGATTTTGAGGAGTTGCTGCCACCAGCAGGTGCTTTTCTATCCCTAAAAACCAGGGGCAAACACTTGGAATCACCTCCAAGCCCAAAAAGAGCTTGAAAAGAGAAAAACAAGCTGCAGTCTCTGATAGCCGACCCCTCAGTCAGGCATGCAGATACACACACAGACACAGTCTCTGATAGCCGACCCCAAGCGTCCGTGGCCAATCTAGACGCGGTTTTCCGCAAAAAAGCCCCGATCGCCATTTTCGCCATCGGGGCTTTTTTGTGGAAAACAGCACTGTGCTGTCTACACTGGCCCTTTTGCGCAAAAGTCTTTCAGAAAAATACTTTTGCCCGAACGGGAGCAGCACAGTATTTCCGGAAAAGCACTGACGATCTTACATGAGATCTTACATGAGATCATCAGTGCTTTTCCGGAAATTCAAGCGGCCAGTGTAGACAGCTGGCAAGGTTTTCCGCAAAAGCAGATGATTTTGCGGAAAAACTTGCCAGTCTAGACACAGCCTCTGTGTCTCTCAACTCCGGATTTCTCTCTCCCACACAAAGAAAACAGGCAGGGAACCTAGATCCAGTTCAAATTTCAACCCTCTATCTTGATTGGTTCTCTGGACCCCCTGGCCAACACCTTTGCGAACTACCTGAGTTTAACCCCTTAGTCCCTGGGTGCTGGTCAGGACTCCTGTCCATTACAGCTTTATGCCCCGTTTATCCCTTGCCCTCTGCATTGGCTGACAAGTTTCTGGTTTGATGCAGTTCTCCTGTATCTTGTGCTCAGATCCTGCGGCTACAGAAGCTGTAGAAAATCCAAAAATAGACTCCAAACCGGGGTTTACTTTTCACCCGGGGGGGGGGTGTCTGCCCATCTTCCGGCAAGGTGGCACCAATGGACGTGCCCTCTGCCGAGACGGTAAAATTGCTCTAAGCTGCCAGTTAGCAGCGATCCAGCTGGGTTTTGCCTCCCCAGTGGAAGGAGCAGGGGGGGTGTCTGCCCATCTTCCGGCAAGGTGGCACCAATGGTGAATTTCCGGAAATGCTTAAAACGGAATACTATTCCGTTTTCAGTTTTTCCGGAAAAGGAGCGTCTACATTGGCAGGCTGCTTTTCCGGAAAAGCCCTTTTTCCGGAAAAGCGTCTGTGGCCAATGTAGACGCGCTTTTCCAGAAAAGAGCCCCGATCGCCATTTTCGCAATCGGGGCTTTTTTCCGGAAAAGACTACTGGGCTGTCTACACTGGCCCTTTTCTGGAACAGTGTTCCGGAATAAGGACTTATGCCCGAGCGGGAGCAGAATAGTTTTTCCGGAATAGCGGCTGATTTTGTACAGTAGAGCCTCGTTGCTTTTCCGGAAATTCAAGGGCCAGTGTAGACAGCTCGCAGCTTATTCCGGAAAAGCGGCTGATTTTCCGGAATAAGTGGCCCAGTGTAGACACAGCCTAACCGTGGGCTGTGGTAGGAGGATGCACCCACAGCTCTAATCTGGCGCAGTAGCTGGGGTAGCGGAGTAACGGCGCGGCGTCCACGCGCGCTTCATTGGGGGCTAGTGGCTCCAGAGCCCAGGTTCACTGGATTAAAGCTAACTCAGGGATGGCTCCTGGAACTGCAGTCTGTGATTACAGACATACCCTCTGCCTGATGCAGCTACGCCGCTGGCTGAAGTCAGGGCAGCCCCCTAATGAGGGCCAGGCCTGAAGCTGGCCCTTCAAAATGGGCTCAAACCCCAGATTTTGGATGCTGACCCCAAATTTCCAAGGAACCAGGGAGCTCTGCTCCATACCCACCTCTGAAAGCACCAGCAGGGAAGTCAGCTGGAAAGAATTCTGAAATTTGTCATTCCCCCCTCACGGCTTTGAAGTGTCGGGTCCCCGCCCTTCACTCCCGCATTGAACAGGAGTAATTGTTTAATTAGTAATAAAGGCAGTAGTCGTGTAAGTGGGTGGCTTTTTTTTTTTTTTAGGGCATGTTAAAAAATTTATCACTTCCTTTTCTTCCTGGGAGAGTGAGTGTTTTGGCATTAATGCGTTTTTGAACTTAAGCTCCCTCATCTTTCTTAACTAGACAGGTCATTAATAAAGTCTTCGTGGAGAGCTCTGGCTTTCTCAAGCTGTATCTCAGCAGATATATTGCTTCGGTGAGTCCAACGCCGCGGCGTTAAGTCGCTGTGATAAAATATTTATTTGCCATTAGAAATCTGACTTTTTTTTTTTTTTATGTCTTACTCTTCCTTTCTGGGAGGGGGAGCCCCGCTACCAAAGAGCCCTGAAGAGTTAAGGGTCTTCTCAATGGGGCTGGTGTAATGGCAGTGCCGAGAAGAGTCGCTGGAGTTCGGGGCGCTGGTGTGCTAGGTGATGCACGGATGCTTAGGCACAGTCGGCACTAGCAAGCTGAGCCTTTTAAATCATCCCAGCCAGGTTCAAACAGTCCCACCCCCACAGCATGGACACAATGATACTGCTCTAGCTGATACCTAAACAGGAAAGAGAACAACATGTACCCGCATATGACTGCATCCTAGCTCTCCTATAGAACTTTTCAGCAGTACCATTATCTCCATTTTCCAGATGGGGAAACTGAGGCACAGAGCAAGGTGGCTTGCCCAGGCCAGAGCCAGAGACAGATCCGAGTTAGACAAATTGCAGGATTGGGCCACAAGAAATCTGATGAGGTTCAACAAGGACAAGTGTAGAGTCCTGCACTTGGGACGGAAGAATCCCAAGCATTGTTACAGGCTGGGGACCAACCAGTTAAGTAGCAGTTCTGCAGAAAAGGACCTGGGGGTTACAGTGGATGAGAAGCTGGATAGGAGTCAACAGTGTGTCCTTGTAGCCAAGAAGGCTAATGGCATATTAGGGGGCATTAGGAGGAGCATTGCCAGCAGATCCAGAGATGTGATTATTCCCCTTTATTTGGCTCTGGAGAGGCCACATTTGGAGTTTTGTGTCCAGTTCTGAGCCCCACACTATAGAAAGGATGTTGAAGCATTGGAGAGGGTCCAGAGGAGGGCAACCAAAATGATTAGGGGCTGGAGCATATGACCTATGAGGAGAGGCTGAGGGACTTGGGTCTGTTTAGTCTGCAGAAGCGAAGAGTGAGGGGGGATTTGACAGCAGCCTTCAACTTCCTTAAGGGAGGTGTCAGAGAGGCTGGAGAGAGGCTGTTCTTAGTAGTGACAGATGGCAGAACAAGGAGCGATGGTCTCAAGTTGTGGTGGGAGAGATCCAGGTTGGATATTCAGAAAAACTATTTCACTAAGAGGATGGTGAAGCACTGGAATGGGTTCCCTAGGGAAGTAGTGGAGTCTCCATCCCTAGAGGTGTTTAAGCCTCAGCTTGACAAAGCCCTGGCCGGGTTGATTTAGCTGGGATTGGTCCTGCCTAGAGCAGGGGGCTGGACTCGATGACCTTCTGAGGTCTCTTCCAGCTCTATGGTTCTATGATTCTATGAGTTCAAGTCCAGGGCTTTAACCCCTGGACACACTGCCACCATTTTGTGTCTGTAACTGTGTCCACGTTTGGCTTGGTACATAATTCTTAGAGCTATTTCAGTTACAAACTAAAACCGTAACGCTACCGGACTAGCTGCCTCACATTCAGGTTTTACTAGTGCCAGAGCTGGAGTGACAGCTGTCTCTGCCCTGGGGGGGTTAGTCTAAACAGGTAGGATGAACAAAGGGGGCCAGGGAAACTGAGGCTCAGGGATGGTCACTCAGAACTCCGCTCTCAAGCCTCCTTCGAGCCTTTCACAGCATTAGCCGGGAAAGGGCTGCGTGCGAGTTTAATGAGCAAGACCCTCATCTGGTGAGGCAAGGGAGGCCTGAGCGGGGATGGGGAGGATGCTGGCAGGATACACAGCTGAGCTGGTGGCTGGAGTGGAAAAGGCGGCTGCTGGGGGGGAGGGAAGGGGTGGAAGCAGCTGTTTGTCTCCTGCAGTGCTTGGGCATGGTGGGCGCTTGCCATCTGTCCTGCTCTGGTACCCTCCTGCTCTGGGGTTCAGTGGGGCTGCCTGCTCCTCCCCAACCCCCCTGCTGTTGCAGATGTCTGGGGGCCTTGGGCCCTGCTGGTGCTCAGCTAGGGGGTCTCCCTCCTGAGCCGGCGTGCCCTGCCCTGTGTTGTTTGCTTGTGCTGGTAACCAATATCCATGAAGAATTTGTTTCTCGCAAAGCCTCCTCCATGGTCCAGCCACACAGGGCCCCCGGGGTGGAGCCGCCGGGGGTCACGGAATTGCCTGACTCATGCTTCTCTCCGGGGCCAACAGACATGAACTACTGACAACAGAGGGACAAAGCCACGGCCCTGGCTTGGATCTAAGAGGCAGGTCCAAACCAGAGCTGGAGACTCTGCTGTGGCTGCAGTGATCCTGTGCCAGTCGTCCAGCGCCCCCGGCTCTAGGCTAACCCCGCACATGCGTGCTAGGGATGTTAAATCTCGGTTAATTGAATAGTCAATTAGCCTCATGAATTCTTGTCAGTTACTCGACTATTCTGTAGTCCCTGGGGGTGGGGCCAGCAGCCAGTGCGCTCCGTCCCCACTCCCATGGAACCCCCTGCCCCCC